TTGAACACCTATTTCAAGCCAGAGGACCTGGTGTTCTACACACTGGCAAGAATTTCACATTCCAATGACCAACAAAAGCCATTTGGCTGTGGTTCAAAGAATGGCACATCGCACCTTGATAAATGGAAAAGCCCCAAACCAGCGTACGCCTAGCTCTTTAGGTTTGCGCCACACCCATTTGTGCCATCGGTTTGAAGTCAAAAGGGCCTGCCCTCGGCGACCTGCCACGAGACCTGGATTGCGGGCGTGGCCGCGGAGTGTGGCAGGCAAACCCCCCACGTCTCAGCAAGCATCCATGTATCAGATCATCCATGTATACATGAAATCCATTGTGCGACATCGTCCGCCAGCCAGAAACATCACCAAGATGGCGGACTCTCACCGCAAGGGGCAGTGGCACAGTGACGCACCCTCTCCTCGTTGCTGACTGTAGCCAGCTCACGCCTGCAGTAGGAGAGGCCACGTGCTTTGAAGCGCAAACGTCTAGGCACAAGCTCATTTGGAGGACCTTCTTGAATTAAAGGCTAACAACCAGAAGCCAAATGTAAGTTCCCTCGAGTGGGAAACCACATCGTTGATGTCGCAGGGCCTAAATTCCCCCAGTTGCCAACAAAAAAAGAAGTTCACACCGCAATGCTCTACGTAAAGCTTTGTACAAAGATCGTGGCATTTGTTCTTTGTTACAGACGCAAGTTGCAATTACATAGGGCAATCACGACTTCCATGAAATCACAGTTACCTATGAAACTGGAAGCGGGCCGTGGGCCTATGGGACAATCACTCCATGTCAATAAGCACAACCAAGCGAGCGGTGGCATTGGGCAGTTTGTATCTTGATTTCATCTCGAAAACGGCCTTCCTGCAGGATATCTGGTGGCTTGAGAGCACACTGCAAAATCAAGCAATTGGAAAAGACGGTTGATTGCCAGATCCTGCCTTGAGCTTCGCAGGGAACTCAACGCTGGCAACAAAGCAAATCTCTGATCAGATCCAAGCAAAGGCAAGCATGATCTGAATCAGCGTTTTACATCTTGATCCCTGGAGCCATTCCGCGAAAGGCGTTCCCATTCATTTGGTGTTCCTATGCCAACCTTATGCCTTTGCATTGACTTGACTCGGAATAAGGGGGGAATAAGTGGACGCAACCTGTGTTGGGATAAACATCAGCTAGCCTCAAAGTCGCAAAGCCTTCCCGGTCTTGAACATTTGCGGGGGGCTTCCCCTCGGGACAGGTGGATGTGTTGTCCCTCAAGCTGTTCCCTGGTTTCAGACGACAAAGGACGAAGATCCATGCTGAAAATGCCAGTGATGCCGCATCTGGGTGTGGTTCAAAATTACAGAGCTAGGGGTTACGCAGGTTTTAGTCTTTGGTCTTTGGTTCCATTTACCAAGGCGCCATTTTGGTTCCTTTTTTTGAGCCGCAGACAACTCATGTGCTGAGAGCCCCGCTTCAAATCTGCGAACTGCTGCTGGATCGTGGGCTTCTGCGCTCGCAGCTCCTGCACGAAGATACAGTCGCGCTTGCGGGCTCTAGGTTTGGAAAAACCAGCGAGGGCCTCCAATGAATCTAAATGAGTCGAAGATGCTGAAAATGAATCCAAGTCGAGGGCATATTTCGGCCCTCAATCCTGATGGCTAAAAATTTGTGCTGCAAGTTGTTCGGGGTCTGATCCTCTGCGCAAAGCAGAGGCATTTGCGTTCTGATGAAAACCTTGCCAATACACACTATCATCCCACTTGAAGCAGCCAGTTTCTTCGCACATCCGGAACAACGCGCCTTGATCTGTTCGCGCATCTTCTTCTCACGCTGCTTCAAGCGACGCTGGTCCATTTTCACATCGATCTTGTCATAAACCTTGCATCCAAAGAAACGTCAAGCTGTTGTTTCAGCGTGCTTGATCATTCTATGGAGAGAGCACACTCATAAGTCCAGCCCAGTGCAAGGTAAGTCATGCCGAGCCGACTGGCACAAAGGTATACTACAAGCGCACGTATACATCCAAAACCCGTTTGCAAGGGTTGGTCAGACTGGATGTGTCAGGTGTTTTTGACTTGGGAAGCTTGTCAACGTTCGCTGATTCAAAGTATCTGAGTACGGGATCTCGCGGTATCGTCGGCACTGGCGAAAATCGCATGCCCGTCCGCTCTCAGGCGCCAGCCACGTCTGCCTCTTTGTCCTCCTCATCGTACTCGGCGTTGCTGAAAAGAGATCTGGCAGCGAGCAAAAGAAACGAAGCCATCGGCGAAATCGGCAAGGAATGTGGTTGAATGAACCCATTGGTCCCCTTTCCTGCTGAGAACCAGCAAAGAGAGCTTCATCTCAACAAAGCAATCGCAATCTAGGAACTGAAGGGCCTCAGGATATGCCCTGCGGCCACTTTGAAAGCGTTCGAGCAGCAACAAAAAGACTACACGTTTAACTCGGCATGGTAAGTTTCTCACAGCCTTGCAAAGTAGTGTTTCAACGTGGCAGCTTTATTGTGTTGGCCCAAATGCGCATGTGCTTCTAATCACCTTTTGTGCAGCTTGGATCTCGTCCCTCGCCCATACGACTACCAACCAATTGAGCATGCAATAACGCACAAGAACTTTGGTTACCCCTTGCTGCTCTCAAGCAAAGCAGACTGGGTTTGCAGATTTTGCAACGGCAGGGTGTCGTGGCTGGATCTGCGCAATGGTTCACTGTTATATGAGGAAAGTGGAGTCTTTGAATCAAGACTCCTGCAAGCCAGCATAGGAACTCAACACAGAGATACAATGCATTCACCAAACTCTCGAACACCTTTCTGGGTGCTCACATTGACTGGCTTTCCAACTTGTGTTTGCCGAATCACCACATCAATCTTTCAGCGTCAATTTTCACACCTGCGCCGCGGCATAATTTTGAAGGCTTTTGCTTGCCAGCCTTGGTGTGGTGCCCTCACAAGCAGCAACTCCACAATCAAAACAACACATATGCCTTTCTTTTCTTGGGGCAGTGGGCAGCAAGTGGGATGGCATTTACTGCTGGCCAAGCAGACTGAGCTGTCTTCTCAAGAAAAACTTTGAGAGCCCAAGGGTCAGCTGCAATTTCGTCCCAACACATCTACAGTTGATCGCAAGAAGGCTCCATTCTCCATTTCACTGTGCTGGGCCCACACCAGTGAAAACTTGGAGTGCAAGCGCAGGCAAAAGCCTTTGCAGAAGCTCATGTACTGAGTCTGCTGGGCTATCTTCTGCGCATGTGGTCATGCATCGAGGCCTTAGGCCATGGACGGAAGTTCGAATTCGGGCAGCAGGACCTGTTAAACCCTCGAACTCATTCCACCCAAAGGGCAATTGGCAATGCTAGCAGGGTTCAAAGCTCAGACTAGGCCTACAGATTGGCCTTGAGGCCGGCAAAGCATACAAACTGGTCTTGAGACCAAGCCAAGTCTGCTGCCCTTGGCCTGAGTATTTCTGGCAAGCTGGGCAGGTTGATTCTCAGCGAAGTCCTATTGAAACCTAAGGTTGCCACAATCGTATCTGATTTGGAGGAGAAACAACCGCGAATTTAGGAAGAAACATATATATATATATATGTTAGTGGTCCCAAACGTGCCACGGTTTTCAGGCCGCTGCTTACATGCAACGCAAAGTTGTCAGTAGCATCCTGTGACGCATGCCATTTGAACATGGATTCGTCCTCGTCCGACAAACCAACTATCTCAAGCAACCCTAAAACGGCCTTGAACCAGACACGCCCTAAATTAAAGGTAAACCCAACCCAACCCATTCCACTGCATTGCCATCATTTTGTATGTGAGAATACACAATGTTGTACATGCACACGCCCACTTTGTGTACGCCTACTCATGTGCATTGAAATTCAGATTTCTACCTCTCAGACATGCAAAACACACACACACACACGCCATTCATCAATACTAGCGGAAGGTATAGCTGCCCACCATACCTCACTCGCTGCGATCACTTTCACATTGCAAGGCTGCAGAGCAGCGCCGCTCAAACAGTGAAGACCTCCTCTATGCCTCAGCAGCTTTTTCCACGGGCCAAGAACTGGAATCAACATGATTTTGCTCTTCAACGATACTCCACTTGCCGACTTTCGTCGAGATTTTCAAAGCGTTCCAGGCTATTTGATATTGCAAAGCAGAGAAGGGCTTACAAATATGCAGCACGCTCAATTTGTTGAGGTCTTCGGTTGGATCTTTTGTCAGCTTGCAAGGGCCATTACGAAAGAGCAATCAGGGGCCAATGAATAAATCTGCAAAACAAGCTTGGACAACTCACAAAATATCAAGCTCTACTCCGCAAATACTGCAAGTCAAATGGGTCAAGGTGGAGCGGCGCCTGAAGCCTACAGACACTGGGTCCTACCAATCCTAAGCGATGAACAAAGACTCAGAACCGTCCAATTTTCCGTCAGGTGGCGCTTAATTTTATCAGGTGTGCACCTGGCTGGCCCCTGGCTCACACATGAACCTGTCGGGTGTGGAGCTGCGAAAGCATGGGCATCCGGCGCAAGCGTGTTCACACATCCCGGCTCTTGTGTCACACTGTGGATGGTTGCGAAATCCATTTCGCGCCACCTAAGAAACCCTGGTTTCTGATGATTATCCTCTAAATACCAACAAATGATAGTTTTCAACCATGGTTTCAAAGCGGCGCGAAATGGATATCGCAACCATCCACAGTAGTATGGTTTCATGCATCTGTCAAGCAGTCGCCAGAAAAGAAAACAAATCGTGTGGACCGTTTGCGGCTAAGAAGCTCAGGGCATCGCTCCAAGGCAGCAGGAACTGGTCCTGCTGCTGGCAAACGATCTGCAGGATAGCGACGCCTGGCAAGTTGAACGAGTGCAACCAAACGCATTCAGAAGTCAGGCAGGATGTCCCAAGCCCGCAAGCCAAGCTAGGCCAAAGGCTTGCTATGTCCGGCAATCTCTTCTCCGGAGAACTGAGGCCGGAGAACTGATGGGATCCGAAACGTGCCCAGCTGGCCATGGAAAAGCCATCAGCCAACGTGCCCGCCTGGTTGCCGGCTTCCGTTGCCCTGGGCGTGAAGCAGTGATCCATAGGCCCATCTGACTCCCGAAACGGCCGAAACTCCAAAGGGATGCATTCTAAACGGCTTGCCCTTCGCAACACGCTTTTAGTCCGTCTCTTTCGTCTTCCAAGTCAAACCCTCGCCTCTTTCTCCTTGGCCACGATGGAGTAGTCAAGGCCATGCTCATGCAAGCCCTGGCGTATCTTCCCCTCTCTTCGCCAGGTGTCTGAGAGCTTGATTCTATGTGGGAGTGTTCAAGATGACCATGCCAGAACATCGCGGGTGTCAAGGCAACAATCACGCTTCAGGAAAGTTGCTAGGCTGGACTACGCAGCAGAAAAACACAACGGCTTCACAGAGATGGCAAACCATGGCACGGGACAAGTGTGAAGATTGCCTTTCTCTCTCAGCACCGTAAAGGGTTGTTCCTGCCGGTCTAGCTTTCGTTCTGCTTCACAAGCACATCTGTTCCCCGCTCTGAAACAAGCACATAATTAGGGTCTGAACATTGGCGTCCTGCATTTGCACAGGCACAGGCTATTGCAAGTATCCTGTCAAGTTTACCTGCAATGAATCACTTGGTTGGTCAGAAGTCAGAAGTCACAGTTTCGTAACATATTTTGAGAGCCAGTATCATGTCATTCATATCATATGATGTCCACGGACCCAGCATGGACAAATAGGCAGATTATTTTTTGCGAAAAAAAAGAAAGGATTATGCGAGCTGCGAAAGCATGAACAAATATAGTCGAAGTAGCTCCCCACCAATGCTGCCCCAACCGATGTGAGACAAGCACGCAGCATACAATGAGAAGCATTTGATGTCCAAGCACACATCTGTCAATGTATAAACTGAACTTTGTCATTGGATGCCAACTTGAGCAGGATCATGCAAGGGCTCTGAACATCTTGGCATGAACACTCGATGGGCCACTACAACATGCAGAGGACATCTCCTGCACCCTCATTACGTGCGTCCCCTTTCCTGATGATTCTAGGTGCGACTACCCGTCGTGCTAGAGTGACACATCTGCTCCAGCCTGGAAAAAGGCTTCATTGGCAGCAATGGAGCCGCTGTTTGGCCTGCATCAGTGCATGATTGACCAGAGAAGTCGCTGCAATGACTTTGAAGCATGTTCTTCAACCATGGACCCTATCTGTCTTCTACTACATCGTTTCAGCCAGCCTCGTTCCACCGCCAACATGTGTCACGAAGCAAAGAACCCCTGAATGTCTAGCAGCGCATCACAGCAAGCAGTTCATACCGTCAGCAGCCAAGCTGCTGATAGGCCAAGAGAACCAAGAGCCGTGGGTTCCTGGGCCATGAAGAGAAATGGGTCGACAAGAGTTCCACGCTGTTTCCACTGTGCAGCCAGTTCACAATGGACTTTGGCACGAAGGCACCGGTTTGCCCATTCACACACACACAGCTTCATATGGCTGTGGCTCAAAAAACCGGTGCCAAAATGGGTTGCCCTGGTAAGTGGAAACATAGACCAAAACCTGCGTAACCCCTCCTGTTTAATTTGAGACAAACCCATATGTGAAAAGAGAGCCCACGGTTCAGCAGCTACAATGTGCTTTGGTTTCACAACTACAAACGCTGAATTTCACATTGCCTCGTGTGGCTCGTTGACCATCCAGCAAGACAACTCTTGGGGGTTTGGACGCCACTCCTGGGTGGGGGGCAAAGAATCTTCGGCAAGTGGGACATGTTCACCCGGAACAGCACAAGGTTGGTTCTTCTAATTACTAGTTGTCCTTGGCTCAATGGCATGAATCTCCAAGCAACATCGATTTTGCACATCTAGGAAGCTTTCAGAAGTAGGTTCATTAGGAGTGCCATGCGTTGCCAGCTAAGACTGTGGGGTTCTGTATCTGAAAATGGGTGCCGAAGCACTTCCACAGCTCTTTATGACTGGTACAGGTTGCTTGCAAAAGCACCGCGCCAGTGTTCTGATCATATTATGACTTACTGGTGGAAGGAGTGAGCTTTGGCGAGCATGCTCGTCTGGCATTCGGTGTCACACTTGCATTTAGCAGCCGGCCAGTCTCAGCCTACGAAGGCAAAACATGGGCTTGCCTTGCACCAACTTGCAAACAAGGTGATCAGGATTTAGGGGTTGTCCGCTTGGCCTTTGGTTGTTTGAGCCATGCCCGGTTGCATGCTTGGCGACCCCCCTTCACTGCGTGAATCTGAAGACTCTCTTACACGTGCTTCACTGTCATGGAACACAAGGATAGAGTACAGTTGAGATCACCTTCTTCTTGGGACCTATTGTTGGACAATTTGACAACATCCGTACACAAAATGCTCTGAGTTGTCCTGACGCAGGTCAGCTCTGCTAAACATGAATTGCCCCTGCAATCGGAATGGGCTGCTGGCTGGTCGGTCATCAGATTAATCAGATTGTTTTCGGGCTATTTTTCGAGACATTGTTCGGGCATGCAGGGTACTTGCTTAGCAGCTTCGTAGCAATCCACTTGGGCCTAGACCAATCGTGCCTGCAGGGAACGACCCTTATTCCCTCAAAACCTCACGCAGCTCATTTGCCAAGCTGCTGCGCAAGGAAGCAACGCAGTGAAGCGACCAATAGATGAGCCGCCAACCTTGCCAAGTGGGACTGGGGTGCATAGCCATTGATGGTGTCGGCTTTAACCCGCGTGCCGCATGTGTTGCAATTGCAAAGTGACAGGAAGCACTGTGTAATGCTTCACAGCTGGGCACATCTAGGGGCCACGAATGAGTGCCTCTCATGATGATCTTTAGCGCTCTTTGGGCTTGAGTTGCCCATCTGAACCAAGGCAGAAACTGCACAAATCAGCACACAGCAGCACGGCACTTAGTCGCAGGCGGGTCTGGTGCCAAGTCAGTGCCCAGCAGCAGGTCAAAGGAGGAGGCATCGAAGTCCTAGACACAGTCCCGCAAAACACGCCATCTGCATCCTGTCTAGGCGCATTCTAAACCCACTGACTGTTGCTTCCAGTGAAAAAACTGAATCCGAAATCGTGCATAGCAATATACTTGCCTGCAACACATACGCCAGTGACGGACTCATGCACACTTTCAGCATTGAGACTGGTTGGCCGCGGCAAACAAAAGACCAGTGCCACTTAAAGCCTGTGATCCAGGAAGGTGATGTTTCAAACCAGTGCACCACTTTCAGTTGAGAAGGCTTTGGCCCAAGTGCAAAAGAAAAGCGGTGCTAGTCGGTTTATGAGTGAACTAAGCGGTGATCCCCTGTCCGCGATCTACTTAGATTGCCATTGGATTTGTTAGCTTGGCCAAGTGGAAAAGTAAAAACAAAAGCAGCAAGTTGTCGAGGGTTGACCGCGAAAGTCCGTAGGGTTGAGCGAGAGAAGCAGTCGAATCAACGCAAGCCACCTCTACAAACGCTCCGACACTGCACAACAATGCCGAGGAAAAAACAAGAAAAGAAAAAAAGAAGAGCGGTTTCAGCACCACAACACAGTGACCAGCGACACACGTCCCGAGCCGGTCGGCATCTTCATCCTTTGCATCTTTCCCATCACGTCGGATGCCAACCCATCCCTTGGATCCTGACAGTTGGCCCAGTCGAGGACTTCTTCCTGCAGATGGTCGAGCGGCACTCCTGACATGGCTAAAACTGGAGCCTCAGCCTCGGGAAATCGGAAATCCCGGCCTCGGGCTTCGTTGTAGTCCAGATTCTCTTTCAAGAACCTGAGTCTCAAATTACCGGCAGGAGGAGCCTGAGGATCTCCATGGCTAGCTTATTTTTGATATGGATACGCGATGCGCACATCTCCTGGAAATGGAGCAAAGCCAACAACGTCTGGCCTGGGATATGTTTTGTTGAAGAAATGCTAGGTGCACTGACAGGGAGGGCCAAAGAATCTTCTTCTCAGTATGAGTGCACAAACCTTCGACATTCCCACTGAATGGTTTGATAGCTTTCCTCCAACAAAGGCAACTAGGCTCATCTTGGAAGTACTTGCAACTCGACATCAAAAAACACGCGACAGCATGTTCAAGCGTTAACCATTTTAGGTTTGGGCTACTCCTTCTAGCAATTCCTAGATTTATGAGCCGATTTAGACAGGTAGAGGTATCATTGTTCAATGATTCAATTCAAGTCACATAATTGCCAAGAAGAAATACTCTTATGTTACCTCCCTGTGCGGCAGCTACAAAGAAATATGCGTGCCGTGGTGCGAGCGCTGTACCTGCATCAGAACCATTTAGAATATTCTTGTGCGTGGCTCAGAACAAAAACTTTGTTGCGGCGCACCGCAAAAACACAGCAATAACAGCTTCTGTCGGGACTTTGCCTATATTGCCGGCAGCTACCAGTATCACCCAATCGGACGGCATGCGGCAAGGTCGTGCAGACTGCAAATACTTGAACGCCGTTGCTGACTCCATCCGCCGCCTAAAAACGATATTACCAACCTGGCAAGGATGGGCAGCATCACCAACATAACAGGAAACGCTGTGAACTGCCCACCCCTGGTCAGTTGCAAAACACGCAAACTCTGGAATGCTAGTAGCCCTGCAGCGCAGGCCAATCCCTCGACCGCAACTCAAGCAAGGAACAAAACAACAACTTACATACCCTCCCACCAACTAACATGGAAGTGCGCAAACCCCCTTTCCAAGAGGAAAGCAGTCTTTCTACAGGGGTCTGTGCACTTCCATGTTAGTCAGTGGGAGGCTAATTACTTGCGCATCCTCCCTTCTTGGCCGGGTGCTGGAAGCTGTATCCGGCACGTTCCGTGACCAAAATGCGGCTCTTGCCTCACGCTCACGGGCAGGGACACGTGAAGGAGAAATGCAAGGAATCGGTCGGCTGCTTGCCACAGCAAACGAAAGTGACGCCCACGGTCATGAGCTTGCAAATCAATGCCCCCAAAAACATTGTGATTTCTTGTACATTTGAGCTTGACTGGGACCTCTGGTGATTGGAAAGGTCTCCAGTTCCAAGAACACGAC